TTTTTTCATTGATGAAATTCCAGCTAGAAGATCAATTTCGATTTTGTAGTGTACACAATGTGTATCGGTTTGAAGAGGGAAGCAGGCTGGGACAGTGGAGTAATTTGCCTCCATCGGTCAAGTCCACGAGTAGCCGTTTGCTGGTAGCCATTAGGACAGATGGTCCAGTTGCACGCAAGGGGTTTTCAGCAAACTATAATACAAGTAAGTTAGGTTCTCCAACTGGTGCGCCCTATGAACCATCCTGATTTTTTTCAGATTTTGGGCTTTACTTGTGTTGCACTATGTACGCGTATAGTTGTTAAGGTCATTTTGTATGTGCTAAACAACGGAATAGTTGGTCAAACACTTATGCTGTTCAATACTTGGAAAACTCAATGCAATCATCTGTGAGGAATCACAAGGTCCATTTCGGAATACTAGTTCTACAGTACGATGAAGTATTTGTGAACGAAATGCAACACGTTAATTTTCATGAGATCAATTTGTTCGCAAATCCTTTGTCATGCCCTAATCTGATGTGTGCCTTACTATGAACCTTGTGACAATACACATCTCTAAGGAAATCTCGTGAAACTAACGCACACTGTTTGCAACTTTGGACCTAATTTTGCGGAAAGCGAACGTGTGTGCATAACTCAAATTATATGTTTAATGACAACATCAAAATATGCCACCAAAGTGGGGAGTTGCACAGGAGGTTACAACATGCATTTTACTAAAATTGTCCTCACATGAAGTGTTGAAAATGAGAAGAAACACTGGAAGCATAATATCAGACAAAACTGACAGGTTTGCATCGCCCGCTTGTCTTGGTCTATCCAACCATCAGACCGGTTGTATACAAAGTACTTTGACTCTATTTGCTCTAACGAACGCCACATACATGGCGCCAACAGTACGTAGCTAAGGTACACTTTCAAAACGGCGAACAGTTTTTTTTTCAAATTGCCGGGTTATTTAAAGCATAGCGGTCTCGCATCCATATAACCTGCAATGTTGTATTGTTAAACTCACTAGTGTGGCAAAAATAAGCCAAGCACCTGATTGTGGAGTAAAGGTCCAAGGTGGCTACCATTGTTGCGAGCGTTCACTAACATCTTTGAGTATTTTGTGCGAATTATGATTGATTTGGCTGTATTTTGACGAAAACTTCAGACTTCTTTTTGGGTTCCCGAGAAATAGATCAAACACATCGCCCTGGTTTACAAAAGTAGGGATCTTGTCACCACAATAACTAGCACGGAAACGTACAATGAGACGCGTTATGTGTTTCTCCGCTTTATTTTCCGGTAAAAGAAACTGTCGTTTTGAAAGCTTGCATAAAATTGACCGAAAAAATTCCCAGAACTCATGAATAGCAATGAGGAACTATCTGTGACAAAGCCGGGTTTCACGTTTGATTTCCACTGTTCTGCACACATTTTTTTATATTCACAAGATTGTCAACCTCTTTGTTCGTGCATATTCCCTTGAATGTCGAAAGAGTGGTAAGCACTCAGTTCAGTGATCATTTCTTTGTACCCATCCTTTAGTATTTTTGCTGATATTGTGCTGAGCTAATGAAAGTATTCCCGATGAATGAAGTGCTTTACTTGAGGCTCAGAATACTGCGCTGGAAATGGCGGGTCTACTGTCAACTAGATACTTAAGCAGTATAAAAGACGCGATCATGTTCCGAACGCTGTGATCGACATCTAACAACACAAAAAGCTGAAGATAATTGGATTGTATTGAATGTGCCTCTAACAGCCCGCCCGTCACTTTGAATATATTTTAGCGTCAAAAGCCGAACATACAACATTGAGGCGCTTTGTTTATCCCGGGCAAACATTTTAAAGTCCTCCAAGAGAAAAAGACACTTTCCGGTCTCTAACAGTTGCGCGCTACCAGGCTAACCGTAGACAAATGTCCAAATTGGCAACAAAAACCCTCAGATCGAATTTCGCATCTGCTTCGGGCGCTGGTATGAGCTGTTTTTATTGGATTTTAACCTGATGAATACATACAGGGCAAACTTGTGCCAGGTCGCTGGGCAGCTTCAGAGCCGTAAGTAGATTACGTTAATTTCATTATAACCGGTATGACAACCTAAAAAATCCCCAAAACCCTCGATATTTTATAGTGTAACAATGAATCTCAGCAAAACGTAAATGTAACTGTCCACGAAATGTAAGAATTGCGGTTGTGCATAATGCAGCGAACGGCAAACAGCAAATGATGCAACACCCCACATTTGGTCATGGATTTCGGCAGCCAACCTCATCATACCCATAAGACTTATTTTTTTTGACCAAAACCCCAATTATTGTATGGAGGATATTAGTGATTTTTGTATAGAAACGTCCTTCATGGAGAGTTCATTTTGGATTCAAGGAGATTGAAAATCATCATTAATAACTCGTAGATTGCGTACGTTCATATTGCAAATGTGTTCATATTCACATCACACTCGTCCTCCTGTTGTGCAGTAACCATTTTGGTGTGTTCACAGCAAACGGGGGATGCACTGGACTCTGGTTTTGCTCCTATTAGCTCACTCAACATCCTCATTTAAACAACGAATATCTCATATGCAGGACGAGAGCGCGACCACCACTCCACGAACGCACTTTGGACGCGTCTGAATTTTTACGTCCGAACAGGCAAACGTATTCAAGCTTGAGCGGTGTGATTGCACAAGAAGATTTCTCACAAAATTGGATAAAAAATAGGTGCGTTTGAATACAAGTGACATTCAAGTCAAAACAGTCAAAAATGCCTGCTACACAGCAGCTAGTAAAAACAATCGAAAATTGCTACCCACTTGGATGCTTCGACAATGGCTTTGTGATTGTTTTACTGATTTTTCATGCATCAGACAAAAGCAATCAAAAGGGAAGCCTACACAAAATCTCGCAACATTTCATGAAAATTTCGATAAAGATAAAATACTGATACACCTGAACAAGTGCGCTCACAAGTAAATTACTCAGGAAACGTCCGTTGTTTTCTAAGAAATCCAATTTATATTATAGTGGGATGCTATAAATGCTTCCTTACTATTGGCTGATTGTTAATCACCTCGTCTTCTTCCCTCAGTAGATCAAGTTTTACTTTGCGCCAACATTGAAATATGGCTGACAAAGTTAAAAAATTTTGCAACAAAGGACTCACGCTGTAATTGCAAAAAAAACTCATCTGAACCGTACTTACGCTTGTGGCGATTTGAGATGGCAATTGTCTGATTTTACCCGTTATTTTTTTCAAGAAACATGACGTGCACAATTAAGTATGACCACCCAGCGTTAACAATCACGTCACCTGGGTTTCCTTTTGGTTATCCAGATAAACTGAACATGGCGTGGCAGATTTCGCAACCAGAAGGATGCACCATTCATCTGCAGTTTAAGGTTTTCAAGGTAGGCTTAATATAAAAAATGTATTAGCACATTAGATTTGCTTAAGTCTGATGTTTATGTTCAAACATACACATCAGCATCCGAAGTAAGCCACAAAAGGACAAACGTTATTTACAAAATTTATGCTGCTCTGCATTTTTATTGTTTTATATGGGGAGTAAAACGTGCAAGCAGAAAATACACGGCGGTAGCAGATTATGTGAAAAGAATAGGGAATGCTATAGCGGGGACACTCAGTCGTATAGGGCTCAGACGATTCCTGGGTAATTTCGCCAGGTCATTTGTTACGATTGGTATGATGTATTGAAAAGCTTTATTTGCCGACTTCACAAAACTCGGTGTTCCTCTATAGCATAATTCCGTCCAGAACTGAGAGAAGTTCGTACACATATTGCGCTGAAACGAGGGTAAAGCCAGTCGAGATTTGAAGGAAGAACTGAAAAAGTAAACTTTGACTAATGCATAAAAGTCGGAATTCACGTGTTTTTGTCCGCCCCATAACTCGGGCCAAACAAGTACTGTTGACATGAGGCCAGTGTTTTTCATGTAAGTTCACCATTAGTTGCTAAAGATGTTTTGAAAACCGGGAAAATATAAGGAAATTTGAATCGCAAAATCACATGCCTGTCTGAAAGGCGATCGTGCTTTTGCAATTATTATTTAATATAATACGTAGCGAACAACAGGAATGTAGATGAAAATACAACGAAATTTGCCGAACTTTCATACACTGGCAATGTTGCTGCAGACCAGCTTACTTAGCCTCGTATATTATCAAATCATGGTATTCGTTGTGCCCAACCACCAACCCACCGCTACGCACAACTACGCACTAATGATGTCACCTCGATTGGTGATGAAACGTTTGCAATCAAATTGCCCTGCTCAGCGAACAAGCCAACGGACACCATCTACGCTACATGAGCTACCAACATTTTTCTCTATTATCAAATCATTCTTGCCATCTCTAAAATTACATCAACAAAGTCACATGATAGGCACAATTTCAGTGTCAGTCGCATCTTATTTGGTTTCACCCTAGCGACTCGAGCGCGCGAGATCTGTGGTTTAAATCACTGGGCTAACTGATATCCTCTAGTTTCTTTAATAAGCGAAATTCATCACGGTAAAGTTTATAATCCTGAAAGTTGATGTTGATCATTTCATCCTTAGCAACCTCGTTATTTTCGCATGCTACTTCATGCTGTAAAGGATATTGACATCTTTGTGTTTCCATAATACTCATCCCATTCAGCTTCAGCGGCTTCGTGATTTTCTGCTAGTGTACGGTGGACAACATAAATCAGAAGCACTTCTTGGCAAATGGACTGGAGATCGATTGTCATCGTTTATTGTGTCAACCAGCAATAATTTGGGAATTCACCTCATCACCGATGGCGCACTTCAATGCAATGGGTTTGCAGCGGACTACCGCTCCTGTAAGTTCAAATCCTAAATAACATAGCATCTTCCAACCCCCGGGTAGCAAACACAACCTGCTTTCATGTGTAAGTGCTCAGCCTGCATAAACAAGTTATCCATTTTTTCTAAGTTGCTGTGCATAAAAATTGCAGTACAGTGGTATTGTTCTAAAGCCAACGGGAACATCATGGGTAAAGTGCTTAGCGGTTTCTAACTCCGACTGTTCTGGATATGCATGTTCTCAGTCATTTCAACACAAAGCGATATGACCCGCCACAGTAAGAGGAGGATAGTATTTCCCAGTGCACAAATGTTCACAGATCAGTGCATGCTCCACAGAGACGCATAATGAGCTTCGAAGTGACAACAGATAATGCAATGAATCCAAGCTATTCTCTAATAGCGTCCGGTTAAGGCATCATCGCTATATCATATTGGTATATTTGGCACAAATTTCCGCGTAAGAGTCATTTGATATCAAGACTTGAAACAACTAGAAAGGGCGCCAGGATTATCTGACGATGGACTATGTTGTTTTTCCCTCGTGGGCAACCGTTTTACATGTGGGAGGTTGCTGTTCTGATTTGGCAAGTGCTGGTGAGATACGTTTCCTCGAGTTTTTTTCCGGAGGCTTCGGAAAAAAATGCTGTTGTTTTTAAAACCTGATGACGAATTCTATATTGTTTAGTAGATGCATTTTAGTCAAAACTGGGTGTGAATGATATAATGGCGAGATGGCTCAAATGGTTAGAGCGTAAATTTGCTAACAGGAAGGTCCTCGGTTCGGACCTGGTCTCTGCCTCTCGACTCCCGCCAATTTGCCAGTGATTTGTCCAAAGCTAAATAAAATATAATCTCGTTGGATTCGGAGAATGTTTTCTCTCATTGAATGATTGCACATAGGTACGGGTTAACAAATGTGAATAAAGTTACGTATGAGTCTACAGTGCAATCACAAGACCCCGATACTGACGTCAATTCTCAAAGACATGCATAAAATGGCGCAAAGGCCTCATAAATGGATATCATAGAGGGGTGCTGCCTTATCACCTAAAATTTGAAGTTGTTCATTCCCGATGTGTCTGTGCACAGTAGTTTAATAGTATAAGACACGGACAAGAGGAGATGTGGCCTAACGTTTTTACTTCTGATAAGAATACCATGGAATGTGATGTGGGTGCCATACAAAGCGTCATTTCATCTCTTCACTGCACTCACTGTGCCCAGTAGTGGCATAATAAACGCTCATCCCAAGCTATTACCTGCGTCGAACTTTCAACTCCGATTCCGTTATAGACTGTCAACCTGGCGGTAAGTCACTGGACGCTGAAACATTTGAGATTACAAATAGCCATTCATGGCAGAGGCTACTGGCATTATTTATGCAAAATTTGTGAAATGCTTTGCAAGTCTCAAACTCTTCATTTTTGATAAACATCTTCCACATTTTTGGTACCCTATTCCGATGGTGAGACAAAAATTTGATTTGAACTCGTGTAATGGAATTAAGTTAGCATAAATGGATCCTACTTGAGCACAATTGTCCTCTGTACTTTTAATAAACCCTCAGTGAATGCACATCATATGGATCACCTTGGGTTTCAGATGGAACGATATTTCAAATATGATGGCGCGCACTCGTAGTGATTTTTACATATTTATACGTTTATGATCCGTCACGAAGAGACTGGACCTTACCGTGGTGTGACGGTTTGCGCACCTCAGCGATCGATTGAGCTATACTGGCGAGTGTCTCGCGGCACTCAGAGTCTCTCATACTAGGTTGGTCAATGGTTAGAGGTCTGAGGAACACAGTCTCCTGGCCCTCCAGGTTTGGGTTTGGAACTTGTGGCGAATTGTTCCTTAGAAATGGTAATGCATTTGCACTGGCCCTCCTTGGGTTTGGAACTTGTGGCGAATTGTTCCTTAGAAATGGTAATGCATTTGCATTTCCCGCCAAACACCGTTGCCTTGTGTGTGGGCTTTTGAGCCAAAGGCTTGGGTTGAGGACCGTAATCGTCCTCGTGTCTAGGTGTGGGCGCCCTGGCAGTATCCCAGCCCACGTACAGCCATGAATTGCATATACACAAATAAACTCAGGCCACATCGGCCGTCGCGTGGTGCCATCAGCAGGGCGGGTAAGCGAAAACAGGCTACTGCTGACGCCTCCCTTCTTTCTCCTTCACACACTTTTTCTTCCCCCTCTCCCCACCCCATTAATAACTCTCTCCTTAAAGGCCCAGCACTTAGGACTGATGACATCTTTTGTCATGCATGGGTTTTGCGTGCAGCATGTGCTCGTCACATGGTGCCGACATCTTCAGGAATCTCCAAATCAGTCCTCAAGCCTCGATACCCAGTCTATCTGGCCGCGTTCAATGTCCGCACTCTGAAGCAAGCAGGACAACAAGCTGCTCTTGCAC